AAAGAAGCATAAATCAGTTGCCTTTGGTATGTGCCCTAAGCATATGTTCCGGGCAGGGATAGAATTTGCAACCCAGGTTATGTGCCCTTACCGGAAATTAAACTGGCAACCTTTTGGTGCACAGGATAACAATCAGCCAACCAAGCCGCTCTGGCCAGGCAGATTTTTCCCCATTTTGTAAACAAGCAAATCAAGAGAGATTAACAGTAGAGACCCACAGCAGAAGTGAATTTAAATCTAGGCTGGCTGGCCTGGAGTCCATGCTCTTAACCACTGCCTTTTAAGGTGTCTGGATAAATGAAAGGTAATTATGTTAGGTCTTAGTCGCCTAAGAGAAACTATAGCACAGCGCTTTCTGTAATAATATTAAAGGATGAACCACATGTATAGCTCTGATGTACAAACTAAAAAGCACTGGATTGTACACTTTAACTGGGGGAACTTTATGGTATGTAAATTATATCTTAATAAGGCTGTTAAAAAACTCCACAAACCACAAGTAAGTGTCTTTATAATGCAAACTGGGTCCTAAATGATTGTTGGCCATTTTAGGGATTTATTATATGCCTGTGAGTAAATTACACTCTTTTTTTTTTTTTCATATCAAACAAACAAACCTCACTATCAGGAGACCATTTTATGAAGGAATGGAACATTTTAATCCTATTGGTGGGAATTTTTTTCCCATTCCCAGCTTTAGGCCTTTTTATATCTGCCAGGAAATTGAATAGCTCTCAGCTCCCAAGTACATTTGCTGTTGCAATTAAATGTCTATATGTGCATTAAGGATATACAAACAATAAAACTTAGGAAGTGGAAAGAAGACATTTCACTGAAAGCATACTGATACATCCTTTAATTGTACAGTTTTCTTCCATGTGGGTAACTTTTATTTTTGCTTTTTCCTTTTCTATTCCAAACATTTAAAGGAGATAAAGCACTTTATTTACTTATTTTAAATATTTTTATTGACTTCAGAGGGGAAGAGGGATAGATAGAAACATCAATGATGAGAGAGAAAATCATTGATCGCTGATTCCTGTACATCCTGTACATATGCCCGGACCAAGAAGTCGAACTGTGACCTTCTGGTTCATAGATCGAAGCTTAACCACTGGGCCACACTGGCCATGTGAGAAAGCACTTCATATAGGAAGCTACCTGTGGCCGCTCTCCTGCTGGACTGCATCCTCTAGGTCAGTGGTCGGCAAACGCATTGGTCCACAGAGCCAAATATCAATAGCACAACGATTGAAATTTCTTTTGAGAGCCACATTTTTTAAACTTAAACTTCTTCTAATGCCACTTCTTCAAAATAGACTCACCCAGGCCGTGGTATTTTGTGGAAGAGCCACACTCAAGGTGCCAAAGAGCTGCAGTTTGCCAACCATGGCTGTAGGGCCTTTGAGTTGTACAGCTCCCAGGGGCCAGCACTGAGCCCAAAATGAGTGATAGCAGCTTTTCCTCAACACACTTGGTTTCTGACAAGGCTCTAGGAGGCGATCAAAATGCTGCTCTGATGCTCAGAAAACCTGTTGGTAGCTTAACTCTGGTCTCATGGCCGTTCAAAGATCTTCCTTGCCTGGGTCAGCTGCCATCACAAATCTGGCATAGATTCACAAGGAGATCAGATGAAAATTTGGACTGGATCTATATTCAATAACCCCATCACCAACACCAGTAAAGGGGTTCAAAGTCCTGGCCCCCTAAACCATGGGTCACTTTCCTGCTCTCAGCTCTAATGCACGTGTGTGAAAATAGGCTGATTCAACTTACTAGGTAGCTCTGTACTTTGAAGAACACAAAGAAACTAATTTTTATTTATTTTATTTTTATTTATTTTTATTTTTTTACTATTCTGACTACAGTATGCATCAACATATGATGCCATTATTCAGTTCTGTCATGGACACACACATGGCATAGGCTGTATTTCAGCTGTTACTAATAATGGCATTCAGGCCTTTCCTATTGGCCTACTGAACTTACCAGTCCTCTTGACAGTCTCCTTAGGTAAGCCCTCCAGGTGCAGCCAGGCACGGACAGTAGCCTGTCAAGCTCACTGGAATTTCAAACAGCAAGCCTCTAAGCCTAGCAGGCATGAAGGTAGCGCCACACATACTGGTAGCAGCTCCCTGAATTCCCTCCTTCGCTCCCTAACTCCTATCGCGAGATCTGGGAATGTGTACAGATTCTGGCCATCAACTTTTTCTTCCATCAGTGAGTCATCTAAGCAGGTCATTTAGGCCAAACATAGTCACTCTGGAGCCTGACTTATTTGCATTGGCTATTAACCTTAACTAATCAGATCATGGCTTAAGTTCAGTTTCATGTTGTATTAATATAATGTCGAAATAGATTAAAACCTCATAGGTAGTTTTTATTCAGAATGTTTTGTGCTTTTGGAACTAATATATTGGTCGTTGTTTTTTTATCCCCTAGCATCCAGATTTTTATCTTTAAATATCATTTCCTGCTAAAAGAAACCAAAACTCCTTGGAGAAATGACTGATTCCATATCTGGGGCAGAAAAATATATCTGATAAACCTACACCAAAATAATCAAGAGGGGCAAGACTGGGAAGAGAGTGTAGCTGAATCAAGCTGCTGAGATACTGTTGAAATTGGGTGGCATGTAGAAATACAAAAGTATTTCTACACTTGTATATTTTTTTACTTTTTCCAGAAAAACTTTTTAAAGGAAATTTCTATTAAAAAGATGAAACAGTAACAGCTATTCACGGCCAATACCATGGATTTTTATGATTTTATATATTGGGCTTTTTTCCAAGCTTCTTTGAGCTAATTAAGACAAAAGCCCCCCAATATTCACCTTCCTCAAAATTATTTAGAAAGAGAAGCATGTCCCCTAACTGGTTTGGCTCAGTGGATAGAGCATTGGCCTGTGGACTGAAGGGTCCTGGGTTTGATTCCTGTCAAGGGCATGTACCTTGGTTGCAGGCATATCCCCGTTAGGGGGCGTGCAGGAGGCAGCTGATCGATGTTTCTCTATCCCTTTCCCTTCCTTTCTGTAAAAAATCAATTTAAAAAATGTATTTTAAAAAGAAAGAGAAGCATGACTAAGGAGGGCTTGCAGTCCCTAATCCTTAGAGTTTTCAAGTTTAGGGGACATTATTGCTACTTTGAAGAAGGTTGTGCTTAAAAACATCTGACATTCTTTACTCCATATGGGACCCTGAGAGATGTGGCTGGAGAGATCAAGACAAGAATCCTCATGTCGGGCCCGCAGGCTACCTGGCAGGACCTCAGGGCCACCACCCTTCGCCTCCCCGGAGGGCCAGAGGCAGGACCGAGGCTGCACCTGACCTCGGTGTCTCCAGCACGCACAGGCGCTCTACTGTCTAACACCGTGGCCGGCAAACTGCGGCTCCCGAGCCACAAGCAGCTCTTTGGCCCCTTGAGTGTGTATGTCCTTCCACAAAATACCACGAAGAAGTGGCATTAGAAGAAGCTTAAGTTTTAAAAATGCGGCTCTCAAGAGAAATGTCAACCGTTGTGCTTGTGGATATTTGGCTCTGTGGACGAATGAGTTTGCAGACCACTGCTCTCCCACAACCAAGGTCTCTGGAAAGAATGAAAGTTGGGGTTGGAGGCGCATCATGACGGAGGGAGCCCCAAGAGGTCATTTACAGACGGCGCGGGGATGATGCCACAGTGTTCCAAACAACAGCAGCGGGGTGGGCGGGGTGTGCAAGAAGCCCCCGGGAAAAACAGGTGGCACTGCCGCCTGGCGCGTCCACTTCACTCGATTACTTAGCGGGAGCGGGAGCACAGTAACACAAACAGCTCGATTACGGGACTACAAAACCTCAAGTCCACGTGAACCCGTAACATAAAACAGGAAGCCTGCAGCCACGCCCGCGGAGGGCGTCCGCCACTCCCCGCGGCTCCCAGGGCACCAGGGCGGGAACGGGGCGGGCAGGGGCGGGCCGGGCTCCGGGCGAGGACCCGTCCCTGCTGCGCAGCGTCTCGGCGGCGGGACCCGGAGCCGCGCCGACCTCTGCCCCCCCGCCCCCAGGGCGCTAACGTGACCCACGGCCGGTGACCTGTGACCTCCCGGCGGCCGGCCCCGCGGGCTCCAGGGGCAGCGCGCTCTCGCGCATGGCGAGTGTGGCTTCCTCTGGCTGTTCACAAAGAGGCCAGAGGGACTAAGATGGTGTCCGCCGGGCGCCCCGGGAGCGGCCGCCAGAAGGATGTGTGGGCCCGACAGCCGGAGGTACGAAGCGGGGAGCCCGGAAGCCCCGCGCTCCCACGGCCCGAGCGCAGCAGCGCACGCCGCCCGACGGAACAAATGTGGGCCGGGCAGAACGCCCGAAGCTGCGAGAGGCGGGGCGGGATTCTGGTCACCATCTCGCGACGTCTCGGTGACGTCTCGCACGGCGCTCGCGTGTTCCGCTCTTTCACCTTCAGTCTGCTCCCGCGGTACGTGGGCCTATCCCTTTAAGCGAGTGATTGACAGTTAGTTCAGCCACTCAACGCCCCCACCACCATCCAATCAGATTTAAATTTCTCTCAGCCGCCAAAGGAGTTGGAAAAAGGGGTCGAAAGAGGGAGAGCTCTCTCGCGCGAGATCGCCGGGAGGCGGCCTCTGAGGAAAAAAAAAAAAAAAAACGCCAGAAAAGATGGCCCGACCTTCCAAGTAGTGGGTTAAAGGACGGGGTCGAAAACCAATAAAAGGGATGAGGAGGCGGGACCATCGCTTTCCGTAGCCAGAAGTACCGTTACAGGGCACACTTTTTGTCCAATCAACGCCTCCAGACTTTGGCTCAGGTGACCATAGAGTGCGAGGGGCGGGGCTGCAGCCTGGCGCGAGGAACCGTTAAGACGGACACCGAGTGTAGCCAATGAGGTAGTCCGGCTGAGGCGTTGGGAACCCAATAACAGTGGTCGGGCGGGCGCCTTCCCGGAGCGCGGGGAGATGTAAAGACAGACGCGTAGTTTTCCCAATGAGACTGTAGAAGAGGGGAGCTACTGGGCCAATGGAGGCTGCGGGGCGGGATCCTTTGCAGCGGCGGAGCCCAAGATGGCGGCATGCGGTTCCGCTGTGTGAAACCAGCGCGGGGCGGCGGGTTCCTCAGCTCCGCGGAGACGACCTCCGGCGACCCGCAGCCATGAAGGGGAAAGAGCGCTCTCCGGTCAAGTCCAAACGCTCCCGTGGCGGTGAGGATTCGACTTCTCGCGGGGAGCGGAGCAAGAAGTTGGGGGGCTCCGGCGGCAGCAATGGGAGCAGCAGCGCTAAGACCGACGGCGGCGGGTCGCGGCGCAGCCTCCATCTCGACAAGTCCGGCAGCCGAGGCGGCAGCCGCGAGTACGACACGGGCGGGGGCAGCTCCAGCAGCCGCTTGCACAGCTACAGCTCCCCGAGCGCTAAAAATTCCTCGGGCGGGGGCGAGTCGCGCAGCAGCTCCCGCGGCGGAGGCGGGGAGTCACGCTCCTCGGGGGCCGCCTCCTCGGCCGCGGACGGCGGGGAGTACAAGACCCTGAAGATCAGCGAGCTGGGCTCCCAGCTGAGCGACGAGGCGGTGGAGGACGGCCTGTTCCACGAGTTCAAACGCTTCGGCGACGTGAGTGTCAAAATCAGCCACCTCTCGGGTTCCGGCGGCGGGGACGAGCGCGTAGCCTTTGTGAACTTCCGGCGGTCGGAGGACGCGCGGGCGGCCAAGCATGCCAGAGGCCGCCTGGTGCTCTACGACCGGCCCCTCAAGATCGAGGCCGTGTACGCGAGCCGGCGCCGCAGCCGCTCCCCGCTGGACAAAGACTCCTACCCCCCGTCGTCCAGCGTGGTCGGGGCCTCTGTCGGCGGCCACCGGCACGCTCCCGGAGGAGGCGGGGGCCAGCGATCCCTTTCCCCCGGCGGGGCGGCCCTGGGGTACAGAGACTACCGACTGCAGCAGCTGGCGCTCGGCCGCCTGCCCCCTCCCCCGCCGCCGCCCTTGCCCCGGGACCTGGAGAGGGAGCGGGACTACCCGTTCTACGAGAGAGTGCGCCCCGCGTACAGCCTTGAGCCCCGGGTGGGAGCCGGCGCAGGTGCTGCTCCTTTCCGGGAAGTGGACGAGATCTCACCGGAGGACGATCAGCGAGCTAACAGGACGCTTTTCTTGGGCAACCTAGACATCACGGTGACCGAGAGCGATCTGAGAAGGGCTTTCGATCGCTTTGGAGTCATCACGGAGGTGGACATCAAGAGGCCCTCGCGGGGCCAGACCAGTACCTATGGTTTTCTCAAGTTTGAGAACCTGGACATGTCTCACCGAGCCAAACTAGCAATGTCTGGCAAGATTATCATTCAGAATCCTATCAAAATAGGTTATGGGAAAGCTACACCCACCACCCGCCTCTGGGTAGGTGGCCTGGGACCTTGGGTGCCCCTTGCCGCCCTGGCACGAGAATTTGACCGATTCGGCACCATCCGCACCATAGACTACCGCAAAGGTGATAGTTGGGCCTACATCCAGTATGAGAGCCTGGATGCCGCTCATGCTGCCTGGACCCACATGCGGGGATTCCCACTTGGTGGTCCAGATCGTCGCCTTAGAGTAGACTTTGCAGACACAGAACATCGGTACCACCAGCAGTATCTGCAGCCTCTGCCCTTAACTCATTATGACCTGGTGACAGATGCTTTTGGACATCGGGCACCGGACCCTTTGAGGGGTGCGAGGGATAGGACACCGCCCTTACTATACAGAGATCGTGATCGGGACCTTTATGCTGACTCTGATTGGGTGCCGCCCCCACCCCCGGTCCGGGAACGCAGCACTCGGACTGCCCCTACTTCTGTGTCTGCTTATGAGCCACTGGATAGCCTGGATCGCAGGCGGGATGGCTGGTCCTTGGACCGGGACAGAGGTGACCGAGATCTGCCCAGCAGCAGGGACCAGCCTAGGAAGCGAAGGCTGCCCGAGGACAGTGGGGGACGGCATCTGGATAGGTCCCCTGAGAGTGACCGGCCTCGGAAACGTCACTGCGTTCCCTCCTCTCCCGATCGCAGTCCAGACTTGAGCAGTAGCCGGGATCGCTACAACAGTGACAACGATCGATCTTCTCGTCTTCTTCTCTTGGAAAGGCCCTCTCCAATCAAAGACAGACGCGGTAGTTTGGAGAAAAGCCAGGGTGACAAGCGAGACCGCAAAAACTCTGCGTCGGTTGAACGTGATAGGAAGCATCGGACAGCTGCTCCCACGGAGGGGAAAAGCCCTCTGAAAAAAGACGACCGGCCTGATGGGAGCGCAGCCAGCACCAGCGCTGTTTCTTCCAAGCTGAAGTCCCCTTCCCAGAAGCAGGATGGGGGGACAGCCCCTGCGGCGGCAGCCTCTCCCAAGCTCTGCTTGGCCTGGCAGGGCATGCTTCTGCTGAAGAACAGCAACTTTCCTTCCAACATGCATCTGTTGCAGGGCGACCTCCAAGTGGCTAGCAGTCTTCTCGTGGAGGGCTCCAGCGGAGGCAAAGTTGCCCAGCTCAAGATCACTCAGCGTCTTCGTTTGGACCAGCCCAAGTTGGATGAAGTAACTCGGCGCATCAAAGTGGCAGGGCCCAATGGTTATGCCATTCTCCTGGCTGTGCCTGGAAGTTCTGACGGCAGATCCTCTTCCTCCGCCACGACAGATACTGCCACCTCTACCCAGAGGCCACTTAGGAACCTGGTGTCCTATTTAAAGCAAAAGCAGGCTGCTGGGGTGATCAGCCTCCCCGTGGGAGGCAACAAAGACAAGGAAAACACCGGGGTCCTTCATGCCTTTCCACCCTGTGAGTTCTCCCAGCAGTTCCTGGATTCTCCTGCCAAGGCACTGGCCAAATCTGAAGAAGATTACCTGGTCATGATCATTGTCCGTGGTGCGTCCTAAAGTCAATGTGTAACTTGTATTTGCTACTTTGACATGGTTCCTGTTTTGTGATGTGTAATGGGATACAGCATTAGGTGAAATTCTCTTTTTAATTAGTTGTGTAGTTGTAGCCTTTTTCTTTTTATATTTTTATAAACCTTATAGGAGTCAGGATAATTTAGTTATTAAGTGAAAGGGATGCCCTGAAGGTAGCAGGCAGATGGATTTACTTTAATTAGCAGTTCTCACTCTTATGAGTAACTTCTTTCCTCCTCTTTGTTTTTTCTTTTTCTTTTTAAACCTTGAGCTTAAAAAAAAAAAAAAAATCCTCAAAGTTACAAAACCAAAATTTTGAAGTCAAAATCTGGAGGAAAAAGCCCATTGATTATATAAAGATATGCACCTAAATATGGCTTGATTGGTATGTAGGTAAATAATTTCCGTACCAGAAATACTATTTGTATGAAAAATTTTGATCAGGGACCTCAAAAAGTATATGCTGGTAAATTGTATAGCTATGTAATTATTTTAATCAGGTATTTGAGTATTTCTCTTAAAATACATGGTTTATTCCCAGAAAGTTTGCTTTAACATATGCATCTTTATCATTAATTCTTGAGTTCTGTATCCCGTATATGCACTTTTGGTTTGTAGCTGTAACTGTTCAGTAAAAATTGAGGAGTATGTTACAAACCATATGTCTTATGCTTACACTAGTATGCAAGTGAGTAGGTGCTTTTAAACTCAGAATTCTTTGGTCAGTTATTGGTGTGTGGGTTGTTTTTACTGATTTTTTCAGAGAAGTGTAGCAGGTACATTTCTAATTGTGCATATTTTAAAACCCAAGTGTTTTTCATCAAAGATGAGTTTTTGTATTCCTTCTAATTCTTGATTTCAATAATAGAAAGAAGAGTTGTCTGCAGGCTCATAAGTCATCTTTTGTTTCTATGGGCATTAATCAGCCATTTCTAGATAGCAGAATTTTTTAGTCATCGTGAAATGCCTTTGACGTGCTCTTAAAATTTTGCTTGTATTCTTATTTTCATATTTAAACAGTAGCGATGACATTACATTATGGAAAATGTTTGGACTGTCTTTGAAATATTGGGCCTAATATTTGCACTGGTCCAACCACAGAGAATTAAAATGTCAGTGTAAGGAAAACTTTTTGTTTTATTTTCCCAGACATCTGGAATTAATTGAAAATAACCCACCCTCACGGTTTTTTTTTTTTTGTTTTTTTTTAAGCTGAAGATTATTTTGGGTTTTTTTTTTTTTTTTTTTCATCTATTCCTTAACCCCCACTTCTAGTTTCTCAGATCATTAGTATATCCACTCCTCCCCCTTTCTTCTCTCTTCCCTCCCCCACACACGCCCCCGATTTAAATACTGAAAACTTTGGCAAAGGCCCTTGATATTTAACTATGATTAGAAACTTTAGGACCTTTTGGTTCATGGTCATGTTTCTATTCTGTGAAAGTGACTTATTGAAAGCCTGACAGAACCCAACTGTTTTCTTTCTGTTATCAAAGCTGGTAGTTTAAAATAGCACCAATAATAACCCAGGGAAGTGTCATGTAATTTTTTGTTTTTTATTATGACAGGTCTCTAATGCATGTTAGCATGAAAACCTCACCGCTGCTTTGTTTTGTTTGGTTTTCACTATGCATTCATAAATATTCTTTTTAGGTTTAGAGATTTTTTTTGTTTGTTTTTAAACTGGAAAAACTAGTCATTTTGAGGAAAGGAAAGTAGTAGGCTATAAACACAAACGTCCCTGGTTACTCTGTAGGGAAAATACCTAAAGTCCTACAATTAAAGCTTTGGGTGCTTTTTTCTTTCTTTCTTTCTTTCTTTTTTTCTTTTCTTTTTTTTAATGTATATATTCTTACTGATTTCAGAGGTGAAGGGGAGAGAGAGAGAGAGAGAAAGACATCAGTGATGAGAGAGGATCATTGATTTCATGCTCCCCACCGAAGACTCAGCTTGCTACCATGGGCACGCACCCTGACCAGGAACATGCCCTGATAGGGAAATCAACCCGCAACCTTCTAAGTTCATAGGAGCTTAGCGCTCAACCACTGAGCCATGCCTGCTGGGCTGCTTTTTGCTTTTAAAAGGCTGAGTGTGGCATGGTAATATGGCATAGACACCTGTTCAGAAACTAAGGCAAGTGTGCATTCTGTTCATACATGGGGTCAAAGTACAGTTTGGCTAGATACATTTTTCCAGTTTAAATCTCACTAACCATTAACTTTTGAATATCTTGTGATAAGATGATTGGACAAGTAATTTTGCTCCTTTAGGGAGTGAAGTCCATGACATCTGATTTTATGATAATCCAAAGTGTGTGTGCTTTTCTCTCTCTTTTTTTTCTCTCTTTCTCTTTGTGTGCTTGCTCCATGTTTGTGTGAATTTTTATTTTGACATCGCAGCTTTTGTTAAATCTGGGAAATTTGTGCTTCAATGTTTTAGGAACTATGGCTTGATATCATTTCTAAACGTATGTATTGTAAATACCTAATTATGTTTTGTTTGGTGCTTACCTACAGAGTGCCATCATTCAGATGAATCTCTTATTTGTGATACCCATTCTTGTGCAGTTTTATAATATTGGTGAACTATTGACTTAAATCTTCAGAATGGAATGAAAGCAAAAGTCTAAAACTGATGCTGATTGATCAGAATTTCATTATCTCAGCATTGGGTGTTCTTTGTAACAACCAATTTTTTCTACTTCTTATACTTTAAAAAAAAATACTTGTTTAGTTGATGTTTCTGGAATTGAGTTCAAATGAATGGAAAGAAAATTTCTTCAGTGTATCATTTAATGACTTATTAAGTATTACTGGTGAAAACATCAAGCTAATTAAGACTTTTGGATCACTACTTCGAAGTTTATGGTAAATTAAGCGTTCAGCTCCTAGCCAGTTTTTTAATATTATTTTGTTGGTTGTAACGATTCTTAGAGTTTTCCACACAAAAAATTAAATTCCTTGTTTAAGATGTATACGTTGACTTTTAATTGAGCATAGATAGACTTCCCTTTAAAGATTACACCTTAAAATGTCCATCCTCTGGCTTATATAAGTTTTTGACACATTTTGAAGGTAATATGTTCTGGCCCTTCTCTTAACTAGATCATTTGAGGTACAGTAGCAAAAGATAGGTGTTTGTTCGTTGCTTTCGGAATCAAAAACAGTTTAGGTTTATTTTAAAACTTATGAGCAGCTTTTCACTGACATTACCTTTTCTTTTTTTTTCTTTTTTTTTAAATTTTAAATCCACTGTTTTTAGACAGTGAAATTGCTCATTATATAGGCATAGCTTGAATTGCAGTTTGGAACCATTCACCAAAAACTCTGTGGTAACAGAATTAGGAAATCCTCTTGAGAAGAGGGCCTTTATGACTTTTCATGTGAAAAAAATTTTGGAGAGGATTTCTGGACATTTTTCACTGTCTCTGCCACAATGCATGGTTTTGAGATAGATAGATAGAAGTTAAGAATTCGAACAAGCAGAGGAGACGTGGACGTGACCCTGTTAACATTCTGGTTACAGTGACGTTGCTAAGGGAGGGGAGAAAATGAGTCAGGTCACCGCAGTGAGCTGTCCATCTTCATAAGAAGTTTTATGTGTAATTTCAACAGCACTGAAAAGTAAAAGTCCTAAAATGTTCTTGGCTGTTTAGCAATGAGTTTATGTGAGTGTTTTTCTTAAAGTAACAGCTGCTGTCTTTGGTAACGCGGATGAAGGTGGATTTTTAAGTGGTTTTGTATCTTGACCCCTTTCTATAATAATGGAGCAGTTCTGTATTGCTCCCTATAAATTTCAGAATGAAAATAGAGGGGGTAAAAGTTTCACTAAACTTCACTGTTTTACTGTTTCATTTTTTAAGTTATATGTAGAATATATTGATTATAGGTTGATGATAAACTTGCTGTCTTCTGAAATTTTTTTCAGTGTGTTTTGCTCAGTTACATGAGTATAAAGGATAATTTCAGTCCTATAATCCTCACTTAATTGCAGTCTTTAAAAAAAAAAAAAATCCACCCTATTCTACTTATTTGTCTGTTCATACAGTAAATTTGTTTCAAGGTTTGTGCCAATGGGTATTATTGGTGCTTTTTGAGGTCAAGGTATCCAGGAAGGGCTTGTTAACAGTGTGTTCATCTATGATGGCATAGGGAAAATATATATATTTTTAATATTGTAAACATTTTTACTGAATAACCTTTTTTTCCCTTCTGCAAGCAAAGCTGGTGAACAGTGGATGAAGATACGGAAATCAAAGCTCTAATGGACCTTTTCGAAGAGAAGTTGTGGCTCGTGTGGAGTTTCCACGGGCCTCTTGATGGAAGAAAGCTAATCTGTTTAGTATTTGTGCATTTTACTAAAATGGCAGCTTAACGTTGTGTATCTGCTATTGTGATGCCAATGCCGGTGTTTTAAGTGGAAAAAAAAAATGACCTCTTGCTTTGTGCTGTGTACACAAGATTTCTGGAAAAGTAAAGAAAAACCCTTTTTATGGCTCACACAGCTTAAAAGTAGCTGTCACTCAAACGTGCGCTCACAGTTGAGCTGCTTTTGTTTTATTCTAAATAAATTGTTTCTTTTGAGGAAAATGTTTTTCTGCCTGGAAGTGAATTGACGGCAAACCTTTGACCCCTTTGTTTGCAGCTGAGGCGTTACTTGCTGCTGCTCAGATCTCGTATGTCCTGAGCAAGAAGCAGGGAGACCATCATTTTGACTTATCGCGGTGTGTCCATTCTGAAGGATCGCTAGTGTTCCCGTGACCCCCTTTGTTTGCAGCGAAGGGGATCATTGCTTCTCGGTCCTCAACCCGCTGAGGACATGGTGCTGTTGGCTGGCACGAAGGAAGCCGGGCGAGCACCGTAAGCCTCACCACAGTGCACGAGCCGGGGGCTTTGCTGGTTGAAGAGCCGGAGTTGCTGAAATTTAAGTTTTGATTTATTTTGTTCACCTGTCACGTTTGGCCTTAGTTTCATTTTTAATTTGAAGAAAAGTTTGCGATTGCTTTATCTTGCACTTAACATTTGCACCAAATTGCCAAAAGAAGGAGAATGCTCCGTGTGCTTTTTAAATGTTAATGATGATGTTAATAAAGCCTTTCCCGACACATTGGAGGGGCTCCTCCGTCTCCAGGGGCTTCTCACCAGAGGTATGCAGTGATGGGTTTAGTTCTGAATGGATGAAGAGTTCCTGAGAGCTAGCGTTTGTAATTAGAGCCGTTACTCGGTATCTGTGCCTTACTTGACCTGTGGTTCCACATGCCTTGGATGTGCATGCACCGTGACGGTTTCATAGGTACGAACGCACACTCAGGCCCAGACACCTCGGTTGGTAGTACAGATGGTGAGGAAAAAAATGGAGGCATCCTTAAGGAGGAGAAAGTGTTTGCCTTTAGTTCCTGCACTGTCCTGCACTGGGGGTCCTGAGCTTTGGAAGCTGTTCCCAGTGCAGGAGAACAACTCCCCTCTTTGCAGAGGAGACTTCCGTGCACGGTGACAACGCTGGAGCTCAAGAGGAAGCCAGCCGTGCTGCGCCATTGGCCTCAGACACCACTGTTGTTTGCCAGTTGTAAACCTAACTAGTTGCAGACGAAGACCACCTTGAAATGCAGGCTCGCTGGGCTTGTTTTGAATTGTAACCTCGGATGGAAGAGCCTAGTGCTGTGTGTCTCCATGCGGGAGGATGATTACTTAGGCAACAGGTGATTACCAGCAAAGGATGCCACGCTTACACTCTGCAAGGTGGTGTTCCAGTGGCAAACAGCTGTATAGACTCTTGTAAACAGGTAAGAGGGTTTGTAGAGGTCAAAATGCGTTCTAATGAACAGGGTTGGGGGGGATGCTTCTCGGGAAATCTTCAGGCACTGCCTCCCCGTCACCAAAGTCTTGTATTTGTAAAATTCCAGGCCAGAACTTTTGTTCTACTGGAATTTTTATTTAAAAAAGAAATTATTGTGGGAGCCAAAGCATTGAGATCTTGGTTATGGATTTGGGGCCTACAGCCTTGATATCCTTTAAAATTTTGACATTTTCCATTAGCCATGACCTTCACCCTTGGTGGTGATTTACTGGTGCTGGAAGAATTTCCTGCTGTAAACCTCCAAGTTAACAAAATTATAGTGTGTAGCAACAACAACAAAGAAATGTGTACTATCAGACCAGGAATGATAGATAATTTAGCCAAAATGGTTAGTTTCTTTTCTTTTCTTTTTTTTTCCTTGTCCTACAAAGATTAATTATAAAATTTGGCCACTACAACTTTAGGGGAGTGAACAATGTTGACAAGGCTATTACATCATTTTCATGGTCCATTTAGTCTTCCCAGCCTCTGAACCCTTCCGCTCCTCCCCCAACATTAAGTGTGAGATTTTGGCAACTTAACACAAGCACAATAGTTTAATGTATAACACAATTTAGGTTTTCCTGGTTTATTGAAAATGGGATAAGAATTTTGCGCATTTTTTTAAATGAAATTTTTGCTTATCTCTTACAAAGGGGAAAGGTCTTTTTTTCCCCCCCAGATTTTTCAAACTCTTGTAAGGCACACAAACTCTTGTGTGCCTTACAAGAGTTTTTAAACATCTGCCATCTAAAGCTTTGCTGTATGATTGTTTACCTACACGTCTAAAGGATTTTATACCTGTTAGGAATGTTAATTTCTAGTGCATTTTCTTTCTCTGGCTAGTTCATACTGAAAGCCCATTAAGTCATTTTTTTCCAGTTATTAAGTATTTTAAGTTAGTATAGCGGTTTGAGGAAGATTATGTTACACTCTACATATTTCTGCATATCTGGTATCTTTCTAAAATCTCAGGCTTCCTCTCTCAGGAATAAGAAGAAATGTTGCACCAAGGCTTTTGCTTATTTGTATGTAAACTATATGCAAAATGGAAAGGTACACAGTATGGCAATTTTGAAATTAGTCAAGAAGTTTTAACGCCAGCTACACTGGGAAAGAAAAACTAATTAGGTCCACTGTTAGATCTAGGGTTCTGGTTTTGTAAATTGGGACCTGCCCTTTTGAAATATTGGTGTGTTTTCTCAATGTCTTTCACATGATCTAAGTTTAGGGTTCTACTTTAAAGGAAATAATTCCATGACCATCTCTGAATTGATTTGTGATGTTGGGAAGCCTGGCTGTGAGGGTTAAAATTGAAAATAGGGATTACCCTGACTTTGGTAAATCAACCTTGATTTTATAAATTGCCACTTGTGTAGGTTAAGTTATATTGTTGTTTCCAAGTTGTTTATCTCAGGAAATAAATTTAGTACTTATGACTTGTATAACATCTATTTTCTTTGTGCAATAGGGTAACTGATTATGGCTTGTTGATCACCTTTATCTCCCATCTTACTCTCTTTAAGCTTCCCTGGTTAAAAGACCCTTTTACTTAATAACTTGAATTGTAACCTAGTTTTAAATTGTTAGCAGAGGAATTTATTGAATAACAAAATTCCTTCAAACCTCAGACAAGATTGTTCTTAGCAATTAAGAAGAGATTTTGACCTTGAAGTAAAAGTGACATAACCATAACCAGGTAAATAGTTAAATATCAGGGGAAAAGTTCACAGTTTAAAACAACTATAGGAGAGATGTCACAATATTTGTGTTGGTTTACTAATGAATTTTCATGGGTGATATGGTTATATGAATGAGTAGATGAAGTTTAAGGATACTTTAAGCTAGAATGGTCATAAGCCTTACAAAAGAGTTTGTTAGTTGGAGAAGGATGTGGATTGGGGGAGGAAGGTTGGGATTGAGATATCAGGCAGACAAGCATGAATCACAATCTAGCAGCCTGTTGATTGATGGAAAAGATGCAAGCGGAATTTTGGAAAAGGAGTAAAATGATTGGGTCAACAAAAACAGAATCCTGAGGGTAAGCCAGTTTGAGGAAGGCAAGGAGTGAGGATGCACAACCAGCTGAAACATGTTGATAAAAAGTAACAATATTAATAATAGCAATCATCGAATACCCCTTTTACGCCAACATTCTGCCAAATTCTATTACACATTGTCTCATGTCTCACCACAGGCCATGATGTTATAGCTAGTAAGTGATAGAACCAGGATTCTAACCAGGCCTTTATTGTCACTGTACTGTCACACTTTGCTACTCTCTGCGGGCTGGGATGGGATGGAAGCTATAAACTTCAGCATATGGGCAATTGATTTCAAGCTATGGAGTGTATCAACATTCGGAGTTCTTGGGAAACATACAGGCCCTTCCCTGACTCCAATCCCAGACACTCAGGGGTTTGTTAGGGCCAGCATGGCCCAGGAGTCTGTTCTTTCACAAGCTCCCCAGGTCAATTCTGCTGTAGTCTGTGGTCAGTGGCCACGTGTTGAGCAGCACTGTCCCAGAGTGGAGTGCTGAAGTATGGACATATTTAAGACATGGGAAGGGAACATGGTGCTGGGAAAGAGACCCCGGTTGCAGAGCCAGAATATACTGTTCTGTCTCTGAAGCTGAGATGAGGCACTTCCAGATGATGAATTAAAGCTGTTGCACAGACAAGCAGAATGAAACGACAAATGCCATGGATTTTATCACTCGAAAGTGTCACTTAAATAACAGTCTTATAGTCACATAATTATTTCTCCAAGGAATTCAATCTTGCTTAGTATTTAATTTTGCCTTATAACAGTCTGTGAAGAAGGGCCACTTTTTAGTTTATTATATGCTAAAGGGATATCAGAAAAGTTTGTGACTTGGATAAGGAATACACAGCCAGGAAAGGATTGAGATATCCTTGAGTTTTCATGTTAATCTAAAAATAACGTGACTATAGTCTAACTTAAATTAAAATTGCAGGTGATTCTACGATTGCATGTGTATGTACACATGCAAGTTATTTTCCATGAATGAACATCAACTGACAACTACCTTCTAACTAGGTTACCAATAGGATGGAGACAATAGAATGATAGGTAAAGTTGAGCGTTTCTTTGACTTGTAAATAGTTGAAAGATTTCCTATTTTGAATTATGTGTACTGGGTTGTCTTCAATTAATGTAGCTAATTCTTCACATATTTAGTTACCTATTTTATAGCAGGCGTTATTCTAGATCTTGGGGGGAGGAGTATATTGATAAAGAAAACAGACAAGTTTCTCTTTCTCGTGGAACTTACTTTCTGATGGAAAAAGGGAGGTAGTACACCATGTTAGGGCCTTGTTGCCAAGGACAAAGGGTTTGGATTATTTTAGTCTAAGGGCTGAGTGTGATGGAAAGTTATTGGAGG